TATTAGTATAATGTTATTACTCTGTTATTACACTGTTAAACCTGTTAGTATAATGTTATTACACTGTTATTACACTGTTAAACCTATTAGTATAATGTTATTACACTGTTAAACCTATTAGTATAATGTTATTACACTGTTAAACCTATTAGTATCATGTTATTACACTGTTAATACACTGTTATTACACTGTTAAACCTATTAGTATAATGTTATTACACTGTTATTACACTGTTAAACCTGTTAGTATAATGTTATTACATGTTATTACACTGTTAAACTGTTAGTATAATGTTATATACACTGTTATTACACTGTGTAAAACCTATTAGTATAATGTTATTACACTGTTAAACCTATTAGTATAATGTTATTACACTGTTAAACCTATTAGTATAATGTTATACAGGTATTACACTGTTATTACACTGTTAAACCTATTAGTATAATGTTATTACACTGTTATTACACTGTTAAACCTATTAGTATAATGTTATTACACTGTTAAACCTGTTAGTATAATGTTATTACACTGTTATTACACTGTTAAACCTATTAGTATAATGTTATTACACTGTTATTACACTGTTATTACACTGTTAAACCTATTAGTATAATGTTATTACACTGTTATTACACTGTTATTACACTGTTAAACCTGTTAGTATCATGTTATTACACTGTTAAACCTGTTAGTATAATGTTATTACACTGTTATTACACTGTTAAACCTATTAGTATAATGTTATTACACTGTTATTACACTGTTATTACACTGTTAAACCTATTAGTATAATGTTATTACACTGTTATTACACTGTTATTACACTGTTAAACCTATTAGTATAATGTTATTACACTGTTAAACCTATTAGTATGTTATTACACTGTTATTACACTGTTAAACCTATTAGTATAATGTTATTACACTATTATTACACTGTTAAACCTGTTAGTATCATGTTATTACACTGTTAAACCTGTTAGATATGTTATTACACTGTTATTACACTGTTAAACCTGTTAGTATAATGTTATTACACTGTTAAACCTATTAGTATAATGTTATTACACTGTTATTACACTGTTATTACACTGTTAAACCTATTAGTATAATGTTATTACACTGTTATTACACTGTTAGTACACTGTTAAACCTGTTAGTATCATGTTATTACACTGTTAAACCTGTTAGTATAATGTTATTACACTGTTATTACACTGTTAAACCTATTAGTATAATGTTATTACACTGTTATTACACTGTTATTACACTGTTATTACACTGTTAAACCTATTAGTATAATGTTATTACACTGTTATTACACTGTTATTACACTGTTAAACCTGTTAGTATAATGTTATTACACTGTTATTACACTGTTATTACACTGTTAAACCTATTAGTATGTTATTACACTGTTATTACACTGTTAAACCTATTAGTATAATGTTATTACACTGTTAAACCTATTAGTATAATGTTATTACACTGTTAAACCTGTTAGTATAATGTTATTACACTGTTAAACCTATCAGTATGTTATTACACTGTTAAACCCATTAGTATAATGTTATTACACTGTTAAACCTATTAGTATAATGTTATTACACTGTTAATACACTGTTAAACCTATTAGTATAATGTTATTACACTGTTATTACACTGTTAAACCTATTAGTATAATGTTATTACACTGTTAAACCTATTAGTATAATGTTATTACACTGTTAAACCTATTAGTATAATGTTATTACACTGTTATTACACTGTTAAACCTGTTAGTATAATGTTATTACACTGTTATTACACTGTTAAACCTGTTAGTATAATGTTATTACACTGTTATTACACTGTTAAACCTATTAGTATAATGTTATTACACTGTTATTACACTGTTAAACCTATTAGTATAATGTTATTACACTGTTATTACACTGTTAAACCTGTTAGTATAATGTTATTACACTGTTATTACACTGTTATTACACTGTTAAACCTATTAGTATAATGTTATTACACTGTTATTACACTGTTAAACCTATTAGTATAATGTTATTACACTGTTATTACACTGTTAAACCTGTTAGTATAATGTTATTACACTGTTATTACACTGTTAAACCTGTTAGTATAATGTTATTACACTGTTATTACACTGTTAAACCTGTTAGTATAATGTTATTACACTGTTATTACACTGTTAAACCTGTTAGTATAATGTTATTACACTGTTAAACCTGTTAGTATAATGTTATTACACTGTTATTACACTGTTAAACCTGTTAGTATAATGTTATTACACTGTTAAACCTGTTAGTATAATGTTATTACACTGTTATTACACTGTTAAACCTGTTAGTATAATGTTATTACACTGTTATTACACTGTTAAACCTATTAGTATAATGTTATTACACTGTTATTACACTGTTAAACCTGTTAGTATAATGTTATTACACTGTTATTACACTGTTAAACCTGTTAGTATAATGTTATTACACTGTTATTACACTGTTAAACCTGTTAGTATAATGTTATTACACTGTTATTACACTGTTAAACCTGTTAGTATAATGTTATTACACTGTTATTACACTGTTAAACCTGTTAGTATAATGTTATTACACTGTTATTACACTGTTATTACACTGTTAAACCTGTTAGTATAATGTTAGTACACTGCTATACTGTTTATACTTGTTATACTGTTATATCTCCATGTTATAACATACATGTTGTAAGGGGTACAGTAACATAGACGTGTACAGTCACATGTTATAGACGTGTACAGTCACATGTTATAGACGTGTACAGTCACATGTTATAGACGTGTACAGTCACATGTTATAGACGTGTACAGCACCTCTTCTTGGCGGGCAGGTCTTTGGCCTCGATCACCCACACCGTCAGCACGTTCTCGAGCCTCCTGCTGTTGTCCTTGTTCGGGTGCACGGCTCTGCGCAGGTTCTCCATCCATTTGTCTCGCTCTGCAGCCGAGCGGCAGGAGAAGCACTTTGTTCCTGTGGAGGTCGTGACCTGGGAGACAGGGTCAGAGGTCAGCACCATGGAAGGTTCAGGGGTCAAAGTCAAGCTGGGCAAATATTCATTGTGGCCAATCGGCGGTACTACACAACTTCCTGTTCCCATTGACTGCATTGGGAAAGGAGACGTCTGTAAATCAGCGGATCATTTTTGAAACTAAATAAACTCCCCAGTATGAACTCTTTAATAGCCCGTATTTAAAATGTTCTTAAAGCTGACTGTTAGTTCCTCTCTCCATTCATCTGAGTGACAGAGAGGAGGTGGGCTTAAGGGAAACTACACTGCTCTCTATGAAACAGTACTCCTGCTCTAACAGCAAGGCATGATGGGTAATTTGTGACGTTTTGCTCTCGAGAGCGTCAGGTCATTTTGGCTTCCTGCACCAATGAGCAGCTCTCATAGGGAGGAACGAGACCCCGCCTCCAACGCTGGATCCAGTTCTTGTAATACATGCATGCTCATAGTGTTGTTCTGAAAGGGAGGTGCCTAACTGTGTGTGTGTGTGTGTGTGTGTGTGTGTGTGTGTGTGTGTGTGTGTGTGTGTGTGTGTGTGTGTGTGTCTGTGTGTGTGTGTGTTACCTCGAAGCAGTAGTCCTGTCCCAGCAGGGAGGAGTGGACTGGTTTGATGATAACTGATTGGTCCATCCTGAGCTCCAGAGACGACACACAGCCAGCGCTTAGCAACGACTCCTGGCTACCACAATGCTGCCGCCGCATCACACACCTGTAAACACAACACCAACAACCATCAGAAACAACAACCACCAGAGACAACACCAACCGTCAGAGACAACAACCACCAGAGACAACAACATCAACAACCACCAGAGACAACAACATCAACAACCACCAGAGACAACAACATCAACAACCATCAGAGACAACACCAACCGTCAGAGACAACCACAACCATCAGAGACAACCACAACCATCAGAGACAACAACCACCAGAGACAACACCAACCGTCAGAGACAACAACAACCGTCAGAGACAACAACCACCAGAGACAACAACATCAACAACCACCAGAGACAACAACATCAACAACCATCAGAGACAACAACTTTTTGGATTTCTTTAAGAACATCTTTATTATCCAGAATATTTTATAGTGTTTATATTTAATATACTATTTTCATTTTAACTTAAAATTGTAGTTGTTAATTTTCAATTTCTCCCTTTAAGTATTTGTATTTTAATGTTGAAACACTGCTTCTGTAACAAAATCATTTCCCAAATTGGGATCAATAAAGTATATCTATCTATCAGAGACAACACCAACCGTCAGAGACAACACCAACCGTCAGAGACAACACCAACCGTCAGAGACAACACCAACCGTCAGAGACAACACCAACCGTCAGAGACAACACCAACCGTCAGAGACAACACCAACCGTCAGAGACACCAACACCAACCGTCAGAGACACCACCAACCATCAGAGACACCAACAGCAACCGTCAGAGACACCAACACCAACCGTCAGAGACACCAACACCAACCGTCAGAGACACCACCAACCATCAGAGACACCAACACCAACCGTCAGAGACACCACCAACCGTCAGAGACACCACCAACCATCAGAGACACCAACACCAACCGTCAGAGACACCACCAACCATCAGAGACACCAACAGCAACCGTCAGAGACACCACCAACCGTCAGAGACACCACCAACCGTCAGAGACACCACCAACCATCAGAGACACCACCACCAACCGTCAGAGACACCACCAACCGTCAGAGACACCACCAACCGTCAGAGACACCACCAACCATCAGAGACACCAACACCAACCGTCAGAGACACCACCAACCATCAGAGACACCAACACCAACCGTCAGAGACACCACCAACCGTCAGAGACACCACCAACCATCAGAGACACCAACACCAACCGTCAGAGACACCACCAACCATCAGAGACACCACCAACCGTCAGAGACACCACCAACCATCAGAGACACCAACACCAACCGTCAGAGACACCACCAACCATCAGAGACACCAACAGCAACCGTCAGAGACACCACCAACCGTCAGAGACACCACCAACCGTCAGAGACAACACCAACCGTCAGAGACACCAACCCCAACCGCCAGAGACACCACCAACCATCAGAGACACCACCAACCATCAGAGACACCAACACCAACCGTCAGAGACACCACCAACCATCAGAGACACCAACAGCAACCGTCAGAGACACAACCAACCGTCAGAGACACCACCAACCGTCAGAGACAACACCAACCGTCAGAGACACCAACCCCAACCGCCAGAGACACCACCAACCGTCAGAGACACCAACAGCAGCCGTCAGAGACACCACCAACCGTCAGAGACACCAACAGCAACCGTCAGAGACACCAACAGCAACCGTCAGAGACACCACCAACCGTCAGAGACATCAACAGCAACCGTCAGAGACATCAACAGCAACCGTCAGAGACGCCACCAACCGTCAGAGACACCAACAGCAACCGTCAGAGACACCAACAGCAACCGTCAGAGACACCAACAGCAACCGTCAGAGACACCACCAACCGTCAGAGACACCAACAGCAACCGTCAGAGACACCACCAACCGTCAGAGACATCAACAGCAACCGTCAGAGACACCACCAACCGTCAGAGACACCACCAACCGTCAGAGACACCACCAACCGTCAGAGACACCAACAGCAACCGTCAGAGACACCAACAGCAACCGTCAGAGACTCCACCAACCGTCAGAGATACCACCAACCGTCAGAGACACCAACAGCAACCGTCAGAGACACCACCAACCGTCAGAGACACCAACAGCAACCGTCAGAGACACCACCAACCGTCAGAGACACCAACAGCAACCGTCAGAGACAACACCAAGCGTCAGAGACACCAACAGCAACCGTCAGAGACACCAACAGCAACCGTCAGAGACACCACCAACCGTCAGAGACACCAACAGCAACCGTCAGAGACACCACCAACCGTCAGAGACACCACCAACCGTCAGAGACACCAACAGCAACCGTCAGAGACAACAGCAACCGTCAGAGACACCAACAGCAACCGTCAAAGACACCACCAACCGTCAGAGACACCACCAACCGTCAGAGACACCAACAGCAACCGTCAGAGACACCAACAGCAACCATCAGAGACACCACCAACCGTCAGAGACACCACCAACCGTCAGAGACACCAACAGCAACCGTCAGAGACACCAACAGCAACCGTCAGAGACACCACCAACCGTCAGAGACACCAACAACCGTCAGAGACACCACCAACCGTCAGAGACACCACCAACCGTCAGAGACACCAACAGCAACCGTCAGAGACACCACCACCCGTCAGAGACACCAACACGGTTACCTCGTATTTTCTTATTCAGGATCATATACCTGTGTCTAGTCTATGAAACGATAAAACGATTTGGCCCTTTAGGTCCTGACCTGATAAACAGTAACCTGAAACCATCGCTGGTTAAGAGACTGCTTACAGAGACATCAAGCAGAGAGAGAGAGGCCCTGCGACGCCTCCCTGCTCCTGGTCTCTATGCTCCTGGTCTCTATGCTCCTGGTCTCTATGCTCCTGGTCTCTATGCTCCTGGTCTCTATGCTCCTGGTCTCTATGTTTGTATAGAGGCGGACAACGAGAAACAAACACCGGCAAAATGAAATCCTGCCTCACCATCAGGTCATAATACATGACGGGGGTCAGCTGTGACCTCTGACAGCACACACACACACACACACACACACACACACACACACACACACACACACACACACACACACACACACACACACACACACACACACACACACACTAATCTGTGGTACGTCCGTTAGCTCTCATTATTATAACGAGCAGCAGCTCACAGACTAATTCTACAGGGATGAGTGAGTGTGTGTGCGTGTGTGTGTGCGTGCGTTCATGTGTGTGAGTGTGTGTGTGTGTGAATTTAACCTTTTTTTAGCTAAACATGTTGGCTAACAGCATGCGTCTAGCCCAGCCACATGCTAACATACCAGGCTAGCTGTGTGCAGATTGAAGCTAACACACACACACACACAGAGAGAAACGCTGCATGTCATGCAAATCAGGTGGAAGACGCCAACCCCCTCTGCACACACACACACGCACACACGCACACACGCACACACACACACACACACACACACACACACACACACACACACACACACACACACACACACACACACACACACAGAGAGGACAAAGGCTGTTTAAAGACTCACAGAGCATCCTGGGGGGGGGTTAGGGATCCATGTCCTCCTTCAGCAGGAGGAGAGAGGAGGAAAGATGGAGGCTGATGCTGAGCGTGGAAACACTAAAGACCTGTCTGTCTCTCTCTCTCTCTGCCTGTCTCTCTCTCTCTCTCTCTCTCTGCCTGTCTCTCTGTCTCTCTCTCTCTTTCTGTCTCTCCTCCCGCCTGTCTATCAGTCTGTCTGCCTGTTTGTCTGTTAGCTTGATGCTAACGATGCTACTCGGCTGCTACTCTCTGTCAGCAGTGGCCCCTCCCCTGCAGTGAGGCTGCCCTACTTCCTGTCTCCTCATCACATCTCCCCCTCCTCTCCTCCTCTCCTCCCCCCCCTCCATGGTATAGAGCTAAACCCCTGATGAGTACTTTCAGTCTCTGTAATTAAACTCCGGGGGGGAGCGGGCGTCTTCAGAGACCAGCAGCTTAGTGTAAACATGTTTACTACTGCTGTAAAGTCAGGTGTTTTACCCGTGGAGGTTTAAAGAGACCTGGATCCAGCATTGGAGGCCGGATTGGATCATCAACAAGTCCCGCCTCCTATCAACAAGCCCCACCTCCTATCAACAAGCCCCGCCTCCTATCAACACCCCACCTCCTATCAACAAGCCCCACCTCCTATCAACACCCCACCTCCTATCAACAAGCCCCTGACTGACCGGATGCAGTTACACCGTTTGGCCACTATGAAACCTGGCTTTCCGGGGGTTTGGTTGGACAATAGAGGGCTATGGAGGGGGGAGGGGGGGGGGGGGGGGGGTGGTCTCCTGTGTGCAGCTGGAGAACACACAATGGTCCTCAGCAGTGAAGGGTGAAGAGGATCAGCTCACTTCACTGGCTTCCAGTAACTGCTAGCATGGTACGCTACCATGCTGTGAATGGATCTGGCCCTTCCTACATCCAGGACATGGTTAAACCATACACCCCAGCACGTGCACTCCGCTCTGCATCGGCCAAACGGCTCGCTGCACCCGCACTGCGAGGGGGACCCAAGTTCCCATCAGCAGAAACACGTGGGTTTGATATCCTGGCTCCAAAATGGTGGAATGAGCTCCCCATTGACATCAGGACAGCAGAAAGCGTACACATCTTCCAGCGCAGACTGAAGACTCATCTCTTTCGACTCCACTTCGAGCGATAGAATGACTAACAAAGCACTTATATACTAACAAAGCACTTATATACTAACAAAGGACTGGCTTATCTAAAGCCAGGTGAGTAGCACTTGAAATGTTTTGGCTCTATGAAACCTGATGTACTTATATATTTCTGTTTTCTTCAAGTTTGTATTTTCCTGCTCGAAAATGCACTTATTGTAAGTCTCTTTGGGTAAAAGCCTCAGCTAAATGTAATGTCATGTGATGTAATCAGCTACGCTCCAGAGAGCAGCTGCTGGACCTTCACCCAATGAAGACATGAAGACAAACTGGAGAGGAGCTGAGACTAACATGGAGCCCAGTGTCACTGTTCACGTGCCAGGGTAACGGGTAGGGTAACGGGTTGGGTAACGGGTTGGGGAACGGGTTGGGTAACGGGTAGGGTAACGGGTTGGGGTAACGGTTTGGGTAACGGGTAGGGTAACGGGTTTGGGTAAACAGGTTGGGGAACGGGTTGGGTAACGGGTTGGGGAACGGGTTGGGTAACGGGTTGGGTAACGGGTTGGGTAACGGGTAGGGATGGGTATCGTTTGAAATGTATCGATTCCGATTCCGGTTCTGCTTATCGATTCCGGTTCTTATCGATTCCGGTTCTTATCGATTCCCCGTTTCGATTCCAAAATTGTAAAAGAAAGAGGTCACACGTTTAGATAACAAAAATATCTTTATTCTTTTAAGCTTTAACTGACATTTTTACAAATAAAAAATATACATGCAATACAAATGTATTGCACAATAGCTGTGCTTTATTTGAACTGAGCTATGCCTGTGGCAAGCTATCAACAGGCATAGCACTGTGCCTAGTCTTTTTCTTTTTCAGTGTAGTGGAGCCTCACTTTAGAGCGTTTACCACGACCCATCTTTGGTGTTATGAAGTGACTGAGCTCGTGAACTGTCTACGGGAGGACAGGGGGAGCCTCGCTGCGGGGCAACTGTTGACCTCTGTTGCTGCAACTTACATGATGCCGTTTAAAAACATTAAGGGAGGTGCCGGCCGTCAGCGTACCGAGCCGGCCGTCAACGGCCCGCTGACGACCGGCCGCTCAGTGATTCTCCAGAACACACAGATGGCCAGTCCGCCCTTACCCTGGCTGTATTCCACCGGGTCACCGCGGCGCAGACGGACCCGCGGCGCAGACGGACCCGGTGAATACAGGTCTATACCCGCGTTTAGGAACCGTTAATCAGAACCGAAAATTGTGTATTTTGTATGGGTACCCGGTACCCGGCATTTTCTTATCGGTTCTCATCTGGAACCGAGTTTCGGTTCCCAACCCTAGTAACGGGTCGGGTAACGGGTCGGGTAACGGGTCGGGTAACGGGTCGGGTAACGGGTCGGGTAACGGATTGGGGAACGGGTTGGGTAATGGGTTGGGGAACAGGTTGGGTAACGGGTTGGGTTAGGGTTGGGTAACGGGTTTGGGGAACAGGTTGGGTAACGGGTTGGGTTAGGGTTGGGCTAGGGTTGGGTAACGGGTTGGGGAACAGGTGGGTAACGGGTTGGGTAACGGGTTGGGTAACGGGTTGGGTTAGGGTTGGGTTAGGGGTTGGGGAACGGGTTGGGGAACGGGTTGGGTACGGGTTGGGTTAGGGTTGGGTAACGGGTTGGGGAACAGGTTGGGTAACAGGTTGGGTTAGGGTTGGGGAACAGGTTGGGTAACGGGTTGGGTTAGGGTTGGGGAACGGGTTGGGGAACGGGTTGGGGAACAGGTTGGGTTAGGGTTGGGTAACGGGTTGGGGAACAGGTTGGGTAACGGGTTGGGTAACGGGTTGGGGAACGGGTTGGGGAACAGGTTGGGTTAGGGTTTGGGTAACGGGTTGGGGAACAGGTTGGGTAACGGGTTGGGTTAGGGTTGGGTAAACGGGTTGGGTAACGGGTTGGGTTAGGGTTGGGTTAGGGTTGGGGAACGGGTTGGGGAACAGGTTGGGTTAGGGGTTGGGTTAGGGTTGGGGGAACGGGTTGGGGAACGGGTTGGGGAACGGGTTGGGTTAGGCTAGGGTTGGGGAACGGGTTGGGGAACGGGTTGGGTAACGGGTTGGGTAACGGGTTGGGTAACGGGTTGGGTTAGGGTTGGGGAACGGGTTGGGGAACAGGTTGGGTAACGGGTTGGGTTAGGGTTGGGTAACGGGTTGGGGAACAGGTTGGGGTAACAGGTTGGGTTAGGGTTGGGGAACAGGTTGGGTAACGGGTTGGGTTAGGGTTGGGGAACGGGTTGGGGGAACAGGTTGGGTTAGGGTTGGGTAACGGGTTGGGGAACAGGTTGGGTAACGGGTTGGGTTAGGGTTGGGTAACGGGTTGGGGAACAGGTTGGGTAACGGGTTGGGGAACAGGTTGGGTAACGGTTGGGTTAGGGTTGGGTAACGGGTTGGGGAACAGGTTGGGTAACGGGTTGGGGAACAGGTTGGGTAACGGTTGGGTTAGGGTTGGGTAACAGGTTGGGGAACAGGTTGGGTAACGGGTTGGGTTAGGGTTGGGTAACGGGTTGGGTAACGGGTGGGTTAGGGTTGGGGTTAGGGTTGGGGAACGGGTTGGGGAACAGGTTGGGTTAGGGTTGGGTTAGGGTTGGGGAACGGGTTGGGGAACGGGTTGGGTTAGGCTAGGGTTGGGTAACGGGTTGGGGAACAGGTTGGGTAACGGGTTGGGTAACGGGTTGGGTAACGGGTTGGGTTAGGGTTGGGGAACGGGTTGGGGAACAGGTTGGGTAACGGGTTGGGTTAGGGTTGGGTAACGGGTTGGGGAACAGGTTGGATAACAGGTTGGGTTAGGGTTGGGGAACAGGTTGGGTAACGGGTTGGGTTAGGGTTGGGGAACGGGTTGGGGAAACAGGTTGGGTTAGGGTTGGGTAACGGGTTGGGGAACAGGTTGGGTAACGGGTTGGGTTAGGGTTGGGTAACGGGTTGGGGAACAGGTTGGGTAACGGTTGGGTTAGGGTTGGGTAACGGGTTGGGGAACAGGTTGGGTAACGGGTTTGGGTTAGGGTTGGGTAACGGGTTGGGTTAGGGTTGGGTTAGGGTTGGGTAACGGGTTGGGTTAGGGTTGGGGAACGGTTGGGGAAAAGGTTGGGTAACGGGTTGGGTTAGGGTTGGGGAACGGGTTGGGGAACAGGTTGGGGAACAGGTTGGGTTGGGTTGGGTAACGGGTTGGGGAACAGGTTGGGTAACAGGTTGGGTTAGGGTTGGGGAAGGGTTGGGAACAGGTTGGGGAACAGGTTTGGGGAACAGGTTTGGGTTAGGGTTGGGTAACGGGTTGGGGAACAGGTTGGGTACCGGGTTGGGTTAGGGGTTGGGCTAGGGTTGGGTAACGGGTTGGGGAACAGGTTGGGCAACGGGTTGGGTTAGGGTTGGGTAACGGGTTTGGGTTAGGGTTGGGTTAGGGTTGGGGAACGGGTTGGGGAACAGGTTGGGGAACAGGTTGGGTTTAGGGTTGGGTAACATGTTGGGGAACAGGTTGGGTAACGGGTTGGGTTAGGGTTGGGGAACGGGTTGGGGAACAGGTTGGGGAACAGGTTGGGGAACAGGTTGGGTTAGGGTTGGGGTAACGGGTTGGGGAACACGGTTGGGGAACGGGTTGGGTTAGGGTTGGGGAACGGGTTGGGGAACAGGTTGGGTAACGGGTTGGGTTAGGGTTGGGGAACAGGTTGGGTTAGGGTTGGGTTAGGGTTGGGCTAGGGTTGGGTAACGGGTTGGGGAACAGGTTGGGCAACGGGTTGGGTTAGGGTTGGGTAACGGGTTGGGTTAGGGTTGGGTTAGGGTTGGGGAACGGGTTGGGGAACAGGTTGGGGAACAGGTTGGGTTAGGGTTGGGTAACAGGTTGGGGAACAGGTTGGGGAACAGGTTGGGTTAGGGTTGGGTAACGGGTTGGGGAACAGGTTGGGTAACAGGTTGGGTTAGGGTTGGGGAACGGGTTGGGGAACAGGTTGGGGAACAGGTTGGGTTAGGGTTGGGTAACGGGTTGGGGAACAGGTTGGGTAACGGGTTGGGTTAGGGTTGGGCTAGGGTTGGGTAACGGGTTGGGTTAGGGTTGGGTAACGGGTTGGGTTAGGGTTGGGTTAGGGTTGGGGAACGGGTTGGGGAACAGGTTGGGTAACGGGTTGGGTTAGGGTTGGGGAAC